GGGAGATGAAGAGCTTATACTTGTAGTCCTTCACTTTATTCTCTAAGCTTGAGAATTGGGACAAACCGACTGTCCTGTTGTGAAATAACGACGACAATAAAGCGAAAAATTGGATCGAGAAAAATCGCAAAATAGAAAGGCACAGCGGAACCACACAAATTTACGTGGTTCGGCAAATTGCCTACGTTCACGGAGCTGCATAAGATTTTATTATTTCGAGGAATAACACTCGTTGATCAACTCGACACTCTTTCTATCTCCTCTCATCCTCTTATTCTCTTTCTCTACCCGAGAGCTTCAAACCAAAGCACGCCAGAAGAAGAATCTGAAAAGCTACCAATGCCAAAGAGGAAGCCTGGGAAACCAAATCCCGAGGGAGATTACAAGAGAAGCTAACATGTATATTTATTAATTTCATCATGTCATTAGGCCCATTAAGGAATTAATCAAATAGTTAATGAAGCTCATTAATTATTTCCTTCTCTCATCTGCAGCAAATCATAAAAGGAATTAAGAGTAATTAATTTTTATCATCAAATTCAATTTGTTGTCAAACATGAAAAAATGTCAAGTTGAACGGTGGACCGGTTTCCATATTAACAACAAATCTCCCACTTTGAGACTGGTACACTGGTTGTATCATTCACTAGTTGCGTCATCCTTTTTTTCGTCATCTTTTTTTTTCAAATGTGATATCATCCACCTCTGCAACTCAAAGTTTCTTGTCTTCACGTTAAAAGACCAGCTGAAGTCGAGCACAACTTTAGCTTCTCAAAAGTAACACTCTTGGTTGACATATCAGCATCAACATAGTTTTGTACCTCCAAGTACTTTTTTGGGTTACTCTTGTATCTGATAACAACTCCCACTGCATGGACAATATCCAATATTCTACCTCTGTTGAAAGCCCTTTTCAACAATTCTAGTCTTGTACCTCCTACGGCCACCAAGCGCAGTCTTCACCCAGCACACACACTTGTGTAATGTCTTCTTCTCTGGTGGAAGTTCTGTCAGACTGATCTCCTGACAGGGAATCCATCTTTTCTGATCGTTTTCCCAGTAACGAAAGATGAAATTTCTTCCCATATAGATAATCATCTATCTGCATCCTTTAGTAATCAAAATCTGTGTCATTAAACTACTCAATCCCCGATGTCATCACATCATCTATGGCCATCATTTTTTCCTTATATCGGGAACCACGGCTCTGATATCAGTTGTTGTAAAAAAAAGACGGTGATAAAGCGAAAAACCAGATCGAAAAAAATCGCAAAACAGAAAAACACAGCGGAAACACACAGATTTACGTGGTTCGGCAAATTGCCTACATCCACGGAGCTGCAGAGAATGCACTTTCCTGGGTTACTTCTGTATCTGCTTACAACTCTCACTGCATGGCAATATCCTAACTCTGTTGAAAGCCCTTTTTCAACAAGTTTAGTCTTGTACCTCTTACTGTCATCAAACGCAGTATTCACCCGGTACACACTTGTGCAATGTCTTCTTCTTTAGTGAAAGTTCTGTCAGCTCCCAATTCTGATTCCCTGACAGGGAATCCATCTTTTCCATACATTTTCCCAGTAACGGAAGATAAAATTTCTTCTCATAGAGATAGTTCTCTATCTGCATCCTCCAGAAATCAAAATTTGTGTCATTAAACCTCTCGATCTCCGATGTCATCACATCATCTTTGACCATCATTTTTTCCTTAGATCCAAAACCACGACTCTGATACTAGTTGTTGTGAAAAACGACGGCAATAAAATAAAAAACCGGATCGAGAAAGATCGCAAAATAGAAAACAGCAAAACACACAGATATACGTGGTTCGACAAATTGCCTATGTCCACAGAGCTGCAGAAGATTTTATTACTTCGAGGAATAACACTCATTGATCACCTCGACGATTACAAGAAAGCACTCTTTCTCTCTCCTCTCATCCTCTTATTTTCTCTCTACCCGAGAGTTTCAAACCGAAGCACGCTAGAAGAAGAACCTGGAAAACTACCAATGCCAAGGAGGAAGCATCAGAAACCAAATTCCGAGGGAGATTACAAAGGGAGCTAGTTGTCTATTTATTAATTTCATCATATCATTAGGCCCATTAAAGAATTAATCAAATAATTAATGAAAGTCATTAACTATTGTTTTCCCTAGATTAATCAAATAATTAATGAAACTCATTAACTATTTTTTTCCCCAGCTGCAGCAAATCATAAAAGGAATTAAAAGCAATTAATTTCGAGTGTCAAATTCAATTTGCTGCCAAATATGAGAAAATGTAAACTTGAACAGTATATTGGTTTTCATATTCGCAACATGTCCTGAGCTACATAAATCCATCAGCCTCCACCCTAAAAGAAAACATGTGGATAAATAAATCGATCGACCACGGGTTTCCTCGTCACTAGCAGAAAACCACGTCACTCATAATAGCTGCAATGGAATTCAGCTTAATCTAAGCCAGGATGACCCCATACCAGTTGAAGATTGTCCTAAGTTCCAGGCATAGAGGCAACCGCAATTCGTATTGCAGTTGGTCTCTGTGAACGACCAGATTGTCTACAAACCGATCAATGGTCCTCTCATCCGAACAAGTCGCCCTAAAACTGATAGTCAAGTCAAAGACAAAGGCCTCCTCCACAAAAGCTACATCCAACGGGGATAGAATCGACCGCTCGGTCACTGCTACCAGACCAAAGGTTTAGGGAGTGTGCTTTGGAGCCATTAGAAAATGAAAGGAAAGAAATAAACGAAAGGAAAAGCCAAAAGAAACAAGGAAACCTGAGCGACAGAAGCTCCGAGAAAAAAACAAGTGTGTAAATAAACAACTCATCCCCTATTATAGAGACCCAACAAAAGTAGAAAAGTTACATGAAGATTTTGAGAGAAAACATCACATCGACAAAAAAAAACATGATAAAAAATAAAATGTTTATTTTGATAATTAGGTAATTACACTCAAACCCTAGTCCTACATAAGATACTTAACAAACTGGTCCTTGACAGCCTCGGTCAGGATAAATCCCTTCCTAACTAATCTCTTATACAACATTTGATCGTTGAGCTTAAATTGATTCGCTCGGTTGGCCCCAGAATGTGCCCTCTGTACGAAGGCATCTTTCTGGAGTTCACATACTTCTCGGTGAATATCAGTTTTTTCCCCTAGCATCTCTTCCAGATAGATCAGCACCGCACGGAAATCCTCTTCTCGCTAAGCCAAAGAAACCTCCATTTTATCAAGGTGATGGGTCAAATTTCGCAGGGACATCAGGCATGCCTCGACCGCTTCCTCCAAGATCTCCACAGGGTCGACCGAGTGATTGATCATGTTCTCCTCACTATCAGCCGATGCTTGGAGCACAGGAGTCGCTACCATAGTTGGATCCCAGCCGTCACCATCAAGGGGCAAACGTCTAATCCGAGCATCCTCGTCTATTTGAAACAATTGATAAGCAAGAAGGAAAAATCTAAGTTAATAAAGCAAAAATAAAAATACGTACTCAGGATCAGTTCCACCATAGAACAAATAACTCTACCTATATTCAGTGGTGAAAGATCATTGGTCGTTCCATTCTCTCTTATCGACTGATCACCCCCACTGGTACACTAGTCGGTAGAGGAGCACTTGCAAACTTTGGCTTAACCAAACACCTCAACAAAGGCCTTAGCTGACAGGCCAGCCGCCAAACCACCCAGCTCCTTCTCAACGTTAGGTTGACCACTCTCAGGAGCCTCTCGGATTGAGTCCAACGACTCCTGCTCCACTTGTTTGGTTCGGCTTCTTAGAGAGTTTTTTCTCCTACTTCATCAGCTCGGCTTCCGGCTGACGTTGTTTCTTTACCCTAAGGGCACAACAGCTTTGCCCAGTCGACAGGTTTAGGCATTGAATCAAACCTTTTCTCCATAAGGACAAAGCAAGAAGAAATAAACTCAAGATACTGAGAAATGTCAACTATACCCTATATATAAGGGTCTTGGACACAAAAATTTAGGCGATCTAATCATTGCATTAAATTATGACTATTAAAATTTGATTTATTACATTAAAAATTTTCTTGTCTTTATCACATCTGTCACTATCAAAGAGGGAAATTGAGAAACTTAATACGTATACCAAAAAATGATCTGTGAATATGAAGACATTCTAACGGCCTAGATCATAAGATAAATGATTCCCTTATGAAAAGCTACAAGTCCTCATGAAGTTGACCGACTGAAGACCACCAGTCAATTGAAAGGCTACCGACCGACCGACCGACCGACCGACCGAGGGTCAGACGACCAAAGGGCCACCCAGGTTGTGACCAGGAATAGGCATCCAAGCCAACGACCAGTTTAACACCCTCAACAATCTCACAAGTATCAATGTGATGCTCACTCACCAACTCCCCCAAAGATCTCTGACAACAAAGAATCATAATAAAAAAAGTTGACCGGGCACCCTAAGGCTAACTAGCTGCCACACTCAAAATTGACTGATTCCTCGGAGCGAAGGCCGACCGGTGTCTAGACAAAATAGCCGACAGAAATCAGCTCAATCGGCTAACCCAATGACCTATCGAGCAGAAGGTCTAGGCACGCCAAAAGACAATATAACTTCTAAGACCCCAATAAAAACAGAGGCAAGTATTTAATTTTACTTTTTGTACCTATCTCCTATAAGTAGAAGAATCATAGCATGTATTAGAGGCTTTTGACTTGTTGGCTTTTTGGCTTCTCTATAGCCCATCTCTTATAGGGAGAACATTCTTCTCTTCTCTCTTGTAACAGTCATTTGCAAGATAGAAAATGGGTCATAGAGCCTGAGAATACTCATTCGCCCCTATGGACAAGTTTATGTGTACTCTCTCCTTTCTCCCCCTCTCCCTCTCCCTCTCCCTCTCTCAATTCCCACCAATCTTATCCTTGGGCATATCTCACAGGACATTTAAATTAAACAATATGAGCTACGGAAATACATAATTGTGTGTTATCCATGTTAACCATGTTAATGCCGCTATTAATTTAAAAAAAAAAACTTCGAATTTGAAAAAAAAATAATTCCAATCATCAAAGTGGATTAGATGACTAACTGCACCCTGTGCTTTTATTATTGTACAAACAATAATTATTCTTGGAAAATTATCTCTTCTAACTGCACTACCTTACCATATTCAGCCACTGGAGCTTGAAAAGTACTCACAAAACTGCTGACGCATCAACTATTCTCGAGCAACCAAGACGACCTGCTTGCCTACATTGCGGCCCGAGAAGAGACCGATAAGCGCCGATGCAGCATTCTCGATGCCTTCGGCGATGTCTTCGACATAAACCAGCTTCCCTTCCTTTAGGTATTGAATGATGAGGTCCAGGAATTGAGGATACAAGTGTTTGTGATCTGGTTCCAAGAATCCCTGCATTCGGATGCGTTTTGTAATAAGGCAAAAGAGATTATGAATACCATCCTTCTCTGTGAGATTATACTGCGAAATCATCCCGCAGACGGCTATCCGGCCGTGGTTTTGCATGTTCAAGAGCACTGCATCGAGCATGGGACCACCAACATTATCGAAGTAGATGTCAATTCCGTCAGGAAAGCACCTGATTGTAATGAACGATGCAACACTTGGTAGTTTCAATGTCATGAGGAATGAAGGTGGAAAGTGTACATTTGTAGTTGTTTCATTGCGCAGCATGATAATTGTAAGGGACATTTACATGCATACCACTCAATTTTCATCCAACACCAAAAGATTTACATACAAACCACTCAAATCTTATCTATTTACAAATCTTACACCTAAAGTTCAATTTTTAAATATATGCCACCTTACTCATGCATGAAAAGATGTATTTCACTTTTTAAAAGTTAAAATAATGATATTTTTTATGTGATGTGAAAGATTTGGGCAGCATATACGTAAAAAACAAAGTTTAGGTGTTAGATATGTAAATACATAAGAATTGAGTGGTAAGCATGTAAATGCCCTATTTTGTTTATTAGATTGTTATCACCTAAATCTTTCTTATCATGTAAAAAACACCATCATTTTAACTTTTAAAAAGTGAAAACACCTTTTTCATGCATAGCTTAGGTGGTATGTATGTATTAATTGAAGTTTAGGTGTTAGACATGCAAATACATAGGAATTAAATGCTATGTATGTAAATCTTCCTAATTATAATACTGAAAAAGTTTATGATCTAAGAATAATCAGAAATGGATAGCTTCAACATATTGTAACCATGGCTGCTGACCTTTTCAAAGCAGCATTGAGATCGGGCTCCTCTTTGTAGCTAAATGCATCATCAAATCCAAACTTTTTCTTAAGGAGATCAACCTGATGAATCAGTAACCGAAGTTAATCATGGTGATCAACCAATAAGAAAACTTTAGAAGAGAATTTTAAAGAGAAATAAAAATTCGATCAAGGAAAATGAAGCTACCTTCTCCTGAGAGCCAGCACTTCCCACCACATAGCAACCCATCAACTTAGCAAATTGGCCAACAAGTTGGCCAACTGCCCCTGAAGCAGCTGAAACGAAAACCGTTTCTCCTTTCTTAGGGGAGCTTATTTCATGGAATCCAACATAAGCAGTAAGCCCAGGCATTCCTGAGTAAATTCCACAAAACAGCTAATAACTATAAGCATATGCAAACTATTAATTCCTAGAAGATTAAATCGTTTGTATTGTAATAACTAAATCTACTTCATACTTCTAAAATTAGTAACTTTAATCTTAAGATTACTCAAATTTCTTCTTGGATACATGCCATGCTTCAGCTGAGCTTTGGTTGATCTAACAAAAAAGCACAATAAACTACGCCAAAATTTTAACTAATCATATAATTGGTTGTTGACTTTGAGTTTGGGGGCTATTTGGTCAAGCATTTGTATGGTAAAATAAAAGGGACGCATGTGTTTTGAAATATTAGGTATTTGGTTGGTTGAAAAACGAATCTAAGTGGTTGATACATTTGGAATTCACCCTTCACTTAATTTTGAGTGTATTTGAAATTTGCTCAAATAAAGCAAACTCCAAATAGATCATTGTGCGAACACCTCCAGAAACGAGAAATGTCAGTTGTGCCCTGCCATGTTATCTCATTGTGCGAACACCTCCAGAAACGAGAAATGTCAATTGTGCCCTGCCATGTTATATGCCACGCCACCCAATGCCTCTGCATTCAACATGCCTGATAACATCTGCCCCCAAGATGATTGACCTCCACCTTCATAGGCCTCTCCATCGACCTAGCCATTGCAACAATTCCTATAAACCTCAACCTCTGACATCTGCCTCCCTTCATGGAAGCCTCCCAGCAACCACACAAAGGGGGTGTTTGGCTGCAAGGAGGATTCAAGTTAAATAGGATTTAGTAAATCCAGTAAATTCGGACTTATTAAATATATACCAGATCTACTAAATCCAAATATCATTAAATCTAAAATAATATTTGGATCAATTAAGATTAAATCCAGTTAAATCTATCTGACGTATGGTGCTAAATCTATTTGAAATATTGTTTTCTTATATTAAATCCATTAAATCCAACTAATAAGTGGATTTAGTAAATCCCAATTTAATAAATGGAACAAGCAAAAATTGAATGTAACTTAACGACGGATTTATGTGACTTATTTATGGTGTTTAACCGGATTTAAGTTGAATCAAACTGAAACCATGCTTAAGTATCATACCAAACACCTTCAAAATGTTGTAACCTAATTAATTTTTTTTATTTAAATTTATTTTGAGTCCAATCAAACACACGGAAATAATCTCTTTAATTCATTTTACACTACATTTGAAATTCTCCGAGTTCCAAATGCTTGGTAACAAACCCTTAAAGCTAAAAAATTATGAAGCGTGTCAATGGTATTATAATTTATTAGATTTATAACGGCAATTTCTGGTTGTTATTACTTATTATTTGATCTTATTCCCTCATTATGTATTTTCTATTTGTTTTATTCTGCTTTATTTCTTTCCTTTGTTGTGTCTATGGCAATTGGGTTTAAATAAGTCTCCTATCAAAATATTATGCTAGTTTTAATCTAACATGGTATCGGAATCATAATTCAAAAATTAAAGTTTTTGCCCTTGTCGTCGGCCAAAACCAGCCACAGCAGCACCACCTCTGCCAGATCCAACACTAAGGATTAAGTCGTCGACATTTTCCTTCTCGAGAAGCTTTGCAAGAAGAGTCGCCAAGAAAGATTTGACAAAAATATTTGCAAATTTTACCAGTGTGGAGATCTTCTACACCGTTATCGGAATACAATCATTGAACAGTATCAAAGCAGCGAGGCTATGAGCTTGTTCTCCGATCAACATTGGTGAAAAGCGATCACGATTCTTCTGGATCGAATGATAAACTCCGTCGGATGAATGGAAATTCAAGCAAATTTTTTGTATCCGAATAGAGATGCTGCCGCACTTTGATTCCCTTGAGCCGAATTTTTTGTATTCGAACAGAGATGTCGCCGCACTTTGATTACCTTGAAGCTCAGTTAACCATTCAATGTTGTTTCCAACTGTTGTTTTAAGTCTTATTTTCCTGCAATAAATTTTTTTATTTTCAGCTGTTGTTTTCAAGGTTGTTTCCAACAACCAAGTCCTCTCCAGCTGGCCCTTTATGCTATTTCCAGCTGTTATTTTCATACAGGATCATTTTTCCTAGTTGTTGTTTCTAGGGTTGTTCCCAGCAGCCAGGTCCTTCCTCGATCCCTAGTCTGCCGCTATCCAGCCTACAAGATCATACTCAACCCTCTTCCAAGCACCCCGAACTGATCACCCCACTTGTGGTTACTGTCACAAACTAAAGTGGCAAGTGTTGGAAGCTCCACGGGAAACCTGCATACAAACATTCCGTCAAATTCTTCATTGCCCAGGGTCTCACTATGACATCTGAATCCTACTCGGAACATTCTAGAATCTTCAGACTCACTTGAAAGTCAAATGGAGCACTTAATCAAGTGATTTGGATCCAGTCAACTCTCTTTTGGGTCGTCAACTTCCCATGCTTGTCAAGGTACCAATCCTATGGCACCTACTTCCTTTGCCCCTTTTAGTCCATGGATTATTGATTCAAGTGCCACAGACCACATGACTCGAAGCTTATCAAGTCTTCTAGGTGTTGGCATCTATTTTTGATGTCGCATGTATAGGATGTTCACCTAAGCTTATCGGGGTCATACTTCATGCATTTGTTGTTTCCCGTAGCTCGAGACATCCACTTGAGATCCACTGGCGCGTGTTGAGAGCGCACGTAGCCGGGGTCATTTTACTAGATTTTCGCTTTCGCTTACATGAAGGCCAATTGACATTTTGTACGTTGGACGACTCCGATCGGGCCAACGAATATTTTGCATCGCGACGCTTGCAAAATTGGCTCGAATTGGCCCAATAGCCAACGAACTTGTCTGAACGACTCAGGACGACGAAACATACCACGCGAGTGCGTTCGAAACGTTGATTTTACCTCAAGAGAACACCCGTTTCGCTACATTTTGGCAAACGGGCTAAAAGGACTTTAATTATTGTGGTATACCCAATTGCTGAAAAAGTGGTCCGAACGTCCCCGGATGATGAAACGGACCATGCGAACATGTTCAGAACGTTCATCTCGTCACGAGGACATGCATGACCAAAAAAAATATGTGAATGATAATAATAATATTAATACTATTACTATTATTATAATAAAAAATATGATAATAATAAATTAAAAAAATGATATTAAATATTAAATTCACGCATGGCATGCAGCTGAGTTGTTCAAGCATGTCATTAAATGTACGCATGCAGCTGCCATTAAATTCGTGCTATCTCTCCATGCTATTTAATTATTTCTCATGCACATGATCAAGAGAATCTGCATGAGAGATTTCACATCCCGCAGAGAGAGAGAAGCAATAAAAAAAGACTATCTTAATATATATCTTGGAGTTCTCTCTCTCAAAAAAAAAGAAGGAAAGAAAAGCTGTGACATTCTCTCAAAAAAAAGAAAAACTACACACGCATCTGCGCCTCTCCCGCTCGGTCTCGCAAAGAGAAGCCTGGAGTGCTCGTGCTCCCTCTCGCTACGCCGCAGTCTACCCTCATCGGGCCTCTCTCGTCGCCGGCGAAGGCTGTCGGAGCCTATCCAGCCGCCGACCACCACCTTCATTTGCATTTTTTTTATTCCTTTCTTTTGGCTGGCTACCCTTGCCGGATTTCTTCAACCTCGTCGGCATCACACCTTCGTCGGAGCAAAGGGATGAGAGAACTTCAGTCTTTGCGTTCTCCTTATATATTTCTCTCGCTCTTGGCTTGCGCCGTCTACGAGCTAACCTCCGCACATCTCCGTTCTACCTTCCCGACGACCGGACGCTTAGTCGGAGTGCCTCGACGTCGCCGGACAGCAGACACCGTCGTTGTTTGGGCGAAAGCAATGATCTTCCACTTCGTGAATGAGCTTCCTCGAACTGCATTGGCTTCGTGCAAACGTCGCGACGGCATAATTTCTTTAAACCCCCTGCATTTCACTTTAAACCCCCCGCTTCGGCATACCTCTTGGGGCCGCTGCCACCACGGCATGCCCATTCTCTTCGGGCCGCTGCCACCCTGACATGTCTATTTCGTTGAGTCATTGCCGCTTCGGAATACCTCTTGGGGTCGCTGCCACTATGGTATGCCCACCTTCCTTTGAATCTCTGCCCCATGATATACTCATTACCTGTGTTTCGACCGATCATTTGCATTTGCATGTTCACATGAATAGTGAGCCAGACTCATTAGGAGAGTGACTCCCGTGTTGGTCGCGATGTCTTAACAATCATTGCTCGTCGGGTCGATCCCGATGAGCAATGTGAGTTAAGTCATCGTGATTGACACGAGTATGATTGTGCTAAGAATCTATTGGATCTAACTTATGTCACCCCTCTTCGTGACACCCTTTAGATGATTCGGATCTTTAGGAGGGGGTCGGCGTGACGACCCTATCAAAGTCATATCACCATACCCAGACTTACCCAAAACTTAGATGCTAGGATGATGCACTTGTCGTTAGTTGGTGTGCTAGGCTAGGTTTTAGGATGTTAGGTAGTATTTTCAACACCTCTGGCTATTGTTGTATTATGTTGTCTTGCGCTGGTCATGTGTCCCCTTTCCGCCTTTTTCGGTGTGCTTGCATGTTTTTTGTGTGTGATAGTATATTAGGGCAATTTTCTGCAGGTGTCGTGCCTATTTATACACAGTTACACAGGTGCTATTATGAGGGAGTATGTAATGATTTCTAATCCTTTGCTTGTAGGTGTTCTTTAGCTCCCCCAACTATAAGGAACGGCTTATTATTTTCACGATGCATGGCGTGCCCGCTAACGTTTAGTTTATGCAGGTCGAGTCTTTATTTTCTATTTCAAAAGTATTTGATAGAGTCCTAAAAAAGTCTGTATCGGGAATAAGGTACGGGCATAGGTTTCAAAGCGGATGACGCACCGAACCATGTGATGAGGACCAGGAGCAGCAACTCACGCCCCATACCTTAAGTCCGAATTTTACATTTTTGTATAGATTTAGGACCGAGCATGTATATGCGGAGTCCGCCCGCTTTTACTGCTTTTCCTGG